CGTCTTAATCCTACTGACCCTGTTTCAAGCATTTATGTTAACCGTGACCGACACTGGATTTTGAATCCATGTGAATGCCTTTTGTTTATTCTCTTTTGGATTGGTTATGGAAAAGGATTAACTTTATTTCAAATGTTTAGAAAATTTTGCTACAATTTTACTGATTGGTAATTTTTATTTTTATTTTTTGCTTGTTTTGCAATGCTGGTAGGAATTGATGCAATCTCTGTAGACATGAAAGCAAAGCTACTGATGGTGGTTGGAACAGTTGATCCAGTAAATGTTGTGACCAAATTGCGCAAATACTGGCCAACTGATATAGTCTTAGTTGGACCGGTAAAGGAGCCAGAGAAGAAGGAGGAGCCAAAGAAGGAAGAGGCCAAGAAAGAAGAGGCCAAGAAAGAAGAGGAAAAGAAAGAAGAACCCAAGAAGGAGGAGGAAGCAAAGAAAGAAGAGCCAAAGAAGGAGGAAGCAAAGAAGGAAGAACCCAAGAAGGAAGATGGGAAGGAGGAGAAGAAACCACCACCACCAGATCCAATTTTGGAGCTTGTGAAGGCATATAAAGCATACAATCCTCACTTGACCACATACTACTATGTTCAAAGCATGGAAGAGAATCCAAATGCTTGTGTTATCTGTTAAAGCTGTGAGAAAATGGATATTTAAAGCTTCCTCCTGTTTGAATCCCCTGTAAAAGCCATGAGAGAATGGATTTGAAATGCCATTAATACGCGTAAAGAAGAGGGAATGCTCAAGGAGTTAAGTTTAAGCAAGCTTTTGTGAATATACTTGGTGTTTCCTTGATTGATCTGTTTGGTGCAGTAGTGATGAATTGTGCAGGGACTAGAGAATGAGAGAATAAATGAAATTTTGATGTTGTTTATGAACATACATTTGATTAATAATTAATTAGCAATGTATTTTAATATATATACTATGCTCTTTGTATGATCTAGTACTGATCTTTTTGTATTTTCTGTTTTCCCCCAATAACTAGTTTCAATTTTTTTTTAATATGAAGTGTTCTTTTTCTTCTTTAAGGATCATGATTATACTTGTTGCAACATCCCTCCTTGTATGGTTGATACTGTTTGCGCTAAAATTTTTAATAATGATTATCTTATTGTATAATTCATTATCAATCGTCTCGTGGTTGGGGAAAAAAATGTAATTGATGCCATTCCTTGAGAATGGCAGATGAAAAGCAAAAGCTACAACTCACATGCCAGAGATTCCATGGTGAGACATGTTAAAAGTTTAGATTTACAGATTGTGTCTCTCACCTTCACAAGCTGTTTTTGTACGTTGAAGTACTGTGTGTAGTGGTGGTTACTGGTCCATTATCTCCTGGATCTGTGGGTCTCCACTATCATTATTCTTCTTTTGTTTCTGCAGGATCTGTCTTACTAACCAAGTTAGCTGGGTATCTTCAAGTAGTAATTGTTTGGAGAGGCATAATTTTCACATATCTACCCAACATTTTCTTATTCTTTCAATAATTCAATGAAGCTAACCCCAAATGCTTCCAAACATTTGAACTCTTCTATCATATTAAACAGACTGGAAAAGAAGAGTTAAGCATGATTATTCTCCAAGGCACATCCCACATGGTGTATTTGTACGGTAATGAATTAAATCGGGGATGCATGTGAACTTCTACATTTTATTCAATTTTGTTCGTATGAATATGAGTATGGATTTATTTATATATAAATTTTAAATATTATATTTATATAAAATTTTAATTATTTACTTATCTACTTTTAATAGTTAAAATTTATCAAAAAAAATTATTTTTTATCTGAAAAGTTGTAATAAATCTTAATTATTAAAAGTGAAAAGATAATAATTAAAATTTTATATGAATATAATGTATAAAACTTATATAAAAATAAATATCTCCTATCTATTCATATTTTAGTTTATTAATTATTAATAAATAAATTATAAAATAAAAGATAATTAAACTTCTCTTATTTCTCTATTTTCACCATCCTAATGTTATAGATCGAATTGTAACATGATCTAACCATGTCAAGGTTCTTTTTACATGAGTAAAGAAGGCAAATAAAATAATTAACATGCTATTTGAAATGAGGGGGAAGGTTAAATATCCAATGAAAAGCATATTCGAAATACTAAATTGCTATTATTGAATGAACATATAATAAAGAGTTTTGTTGAGGATAATTTAGTAAATTCAGAACTTAAATGGTCGAATCCACTTAGGATGTAGAAGATCACAGCATGAGCAGCTCGACAAATTTGAATTCCTATATATCCACTCGTGTGATACTTTATTTTACCATATATATATATATATATGAGTCTTTTACAATATATATAGAATTATTAATTTTAGAGATATAGTAATATAGAGAATATAAAATTAATTCAAGCACTGACAAAATCAGAAGTGCCCCTTGTTTTACAGAGAAGAGGCCATGTTATTAACATTTCATTTAAACAAATGTTGTCTTGTAGATCAAGTCTAAAGTTTAAGTTTTGAGATTAACATTTAAAAAAATTAATTTCTCTAGATACACCAAGTTGATACAGGGAGTACACCTTAAATTGCTTGAAGAAGATTTAGTTTCAAGATATGTGAAAATTAGTTTGGAGACACATTCACTGTAAATAATAAAAAAAAACTTAATTTCAATGAGCATTATCTTAAAGAGACTTAGTGAGATAAACATGTCTGTAAAGACTTAACCATTTAAACTTTTCTTTTAAATTGTGGCGCAACATGAAAAACGCTTTTTTGCTATTACAACATGTAATAGAGAGATGATATGAATTTATGAGGCAATCAATATTAAAGAGCAGGTCACATCTTGTGTAAAAACATTGGATGAAGACATTCAACACAACCACAAATAATGACTTGAAAACCAAGTTGATATAGGAGGTATGACTTAGACTAAGGCTAGAAAA